GTGTTAGGTCCCAGGGTGTTGCAATCAAGAGGAAGGGACATCTATGAACAAGCTCCACATGAAATATTCAACAAACAGTAGAGATACATGTCCTATAACATAAGTAAGATGGTACAATGCCTTCATATTTGTGAGAACAAGGAAATTTTCAGGAAGGGGGAGTTTGTTTGGTATTGATGCATTAACATTATTTTGACAGTGTGATAAGCCAAAAAAGAGACCCATTACTTGGTAATGATTGCCTCTACTATTATATTCACCATTTTTCTGTATCAGTCAATAAAATAGACTCATTCCCTCTCATCTTTAATTTAACTAGAAGAATTATCATAATCCTGTGTGTTGGTCATATTTTCTACATGAAGTGCAGAGAGACTAAAAACATTCTGCAAGTTGACTATTTTAGATTGGATGCCCAGAAGCAAAACCTAGGATGGGGATCCCTGTATTCTTGGGCAAGTCACCTATTAAGAATGGGATTACAAAAGAAATGCATAAGGCAATGAAGGACACAGGACAAAGTAGGGAAAGAAGCTAAGAAAAGTGTGGTTTCAGAAGTCTGGCATCAGCTTGATAATTCAAGGAGTTTTGGACCATGAATTGTAAAACAGAGGTCATTCTTCCCCAGGACCAGCAGGCTGAGCTGCTATCCCTCAACCCTCTGCCTCTCCACATCCATCAATCATTCGTCACAGGCAAACCCCAGCAAGGAAGCTGAGTGAGCTCAACTCCCCAAGCACCTTCAGGTAAGTCAACTCCTTCAACTCAGGGAAGTCCTCCAGAAAGCAATATAGGGTGAGCCCCAAGCAGCCAATTCTTTTGGTAGGTGGAGGTGGGACACTTTCTAGAAATGGGATCTGGATGTGGTGCTAACAGCAGTGGCTACAGTCCCTTAGTGGAAGTGAATGGGGAGGACAAGGCTGTGGGTGCCTGCAGACAGGTTCAAATCAGTTTTTGTCTGTTTCCTAAAATCCTATATGCTTTTAACCACTACACTATATCCTCACAGAGTTTTTACTTTTTTTTTAAAATCTACTTTGTCTCATCGAATTCCCCCAAAACAAAATTAAGTAAATCTCAGCCCACTTATATTGAGATAGATGTTGAGGTTCTGAGAATTTGAACCCTATTCCACTTGCCCAATAATTGGCAAAGTTGGGATACACACCCAGGACTCTTGGCTCTAAATGCTTTTGCTCTCAGGTGACCTAACAGGGGAGTTTGGAAGAAAAGGAGTAAAGATGCTGGTATGAGAAGGAACTGAAAAAGAACCAGGGCCATTTCCTACATCTACGTATTTCAGCCAAGCAGCTCAAAGTTCTGCTGAGTGTTTGTAGCTGTGGTTCTCACTCCTTGTTTGCCATTTGGAGGGCTCCACCATGTTGCTCCATGCTAGCCCAAGTGCAGACTTCCTAAATGAAGGTCTGCCAGGAAGGAGCCTGCTTTACCATGTTTCTGTTGTGTCAAGTCCCCAGCCACTCTTTCACTTGAAGACCGTCTGGTGTAACCATATCTGTTATGTTTGCCCATCATTTCTCTTCCATGCTGTGCTCTGCGTAATAGATGCTTATGCTTTACTTCTCCCTCCCCTCACTCCAAGATTGCAGGGACCACAGAGTAGCAGAGCGAGGACATCCAGAGACTAAGTTCCAACTGTAACAAATCACTGTCTCTGGCATCCTGGACAAGCCGTTTATGATCTGAGTTTGAGTTTCTTCCTCTGCAAAATCAGCACCATGGCATTTCCTACTTCTCAGAATTATCACATGGACTGGAAGCAACATACTTAAAACACAAAGCACATAGTGGGTGTGTAATAAAGGATAGTTATTTTTCTGTGACAGATACACCTGCACAGGAGACAGAGATACATGGTTGCTTGCTAAGAAAGCTTCCACCAAGTGGGAAGCAGATGACAAGGCCACAAGTGTCTGTTGCATAGTGATCTCTCAATGTGTTTTAAAGTCTGTTGCCCACATCCCCTTCCTCTTTTCCCCTCCCCATCACCACTCTCTTGATTCCTCAAGCTGCCCTTTGGTTACATCCTTTGCCTTCCATTCCCCAGCATCATGGCAATTCCTCCAAGAAACTTTTCCGTGGGAAGAACATGGTCCTATGGCCCAGGAGTTAAGTGATCATGCCCTTTGGGAAGATCCTTCTTTTCTTCCTACTTCTGAGTAGTGGCATTTTGAGAGACATCTCTACCATCTCTCACCTTCTGTTTATGACCCTCAGTACCACATTCCCCATTTCGGGGACAACTATCACTCTGGGCTGAGTGATATTCCTCTTTCTTCTTGAACAATGAGGGCAGGTCCATTTCTTCCATCTCAGTTTCCTTCTCTCCATAGTGGGGCTAGCGGACTCCTCCCAGGGATGTTCCGAAATGACATGAGAAAGTACAGAACATATTGCATTGGCCAGTCCAAACACAGTTAAGCATCATCCCCTTGCCTTCCTGGCCCCTCCATGCTTTTTGTTTAAACTCAGAAGAGTTAGTGACTATGAACTCCTATTATATTTTCTTTTATACTCCTGAGGGCTTAACACCATGCTAAACACATAGTACGGCTCAAAGGAAAAATAGAATTACAGTGAACACCTGAACTCTCGGTAGGTGGTGATCTTAGATTCCACCTCTTTAAGTAGCAATCACCCTGCGCATTGGGGCTCTTCTGCCCTACATCTCCCTTTAGCTAAATAGCAGTTTCCCAGATTGAAAGAGCAAGCCACCCTGTCCTCAGAGATGCATCGTCATTGGTGCTAAACTAGCACATTTTAGACTGTGAGCTGATAAGTAAATAGTGTCTGTTGGATTTCAGCACTACTTGATTCCTGGAGGAAGGGAGGGGGCAGGGGCTGTCCGGATGCAGAAGCATCAAGTGCAGGGAATATTCTGAACACAATGGCTGAGGCTCTGCTCTCAACTGCTCCTAGCTGCCTCTCTGGGCTGCCCCACCTGGAGGCTCCGCTGGCCCTGGGCTGGTCAGGGAGGAACTTCACTCCCTCTAGTTGGCATCTCTCTGTAATAGAACTGATATGGTGTTTGCAGAGGGATCAGGTGCCCATCTGGCTCCAAGTCCCTGCATTTGTGCCCCTGGAAAGGCAGCCCTGAGTCCCCTGCAGGGCCTTCTCTGAATCTGGGAGTGCTCAGATGAGATTGAAATGCCTGGGCTACTGGAGTACAGTACTCCTTGTATTTCCCAAGGACTGGCTGGACTTTTGCCATAAATGGAATAATAGAGAACCACTAGGACCCCGACCCCTTTGCCCATGTAGACTCCCATGAACACATCCTCAGTCAAGACCCCCTACTCCAAATCAACAATTACTGAATTTTCACCAACTTGTCATTTTACACTGGACCACTCCTATGGGGAACCGTGTTAGCCCCAGGTCATGTCCCCAGGGCTCAGTCCTTCCTTCCTCCATTCCTGCCCACCACCTCTGATGCCAACACCGCATGCTTCAAGTGTGGCATCCCCCTTAGGGCACAGGCATCCATGGGTATTTTACCAAAAAAAAAGCAGGCTAAAAGAAAAAAAAAAGAAAAGAAAAGAAAAAAAAAAAAAGAAAAGAAAAGAAAAGAAAAGAAAAATCCTTTGGAAAAGTCAGAAGACTCAGTTTCAAGTCTCCACACCAAACTCCTGGGCAATCCTGGCAATTGACTGGGCCCTCTCCAGGCCTCTCCTCTCTTCAGCTCTTAATGAGTGTGAGGAAGCAAGATCCAACCGCCAACCCTGTGCTGTGGAAGGACGCTCTCTCCAGACTGCAAAGTGCCATGTCCACAGGGGAAGTATGCTATAAATATTTTGGCCACACCCTCTAGGGAGTTGGTTGTGTAATGACAACCTTAACATGTTCAGAGGTGAGAGGCGTTCTTCCTGCTGCCTTTGCAAGGCCATGGGTGGGGCCTGGGCCATGCCAAGGTCAGGCCAGGCTGCAGCTGTGGCCTCTAACCAAGGTGACTCACTTCCCTGATAGCACCGCTGAGAGAAGTGCAGGCTCTTTCTTGCCCTTCTCCTTTGACTCCGGCAAGCCTCTTGAGGGGGAAGACATTTGGCACCAGGGAAGGAATCTTGTCAGGTTAAGTCAGAAGAATGGTCTCTGAGTCTGGGCCTTTCCTTTTGAGTTCAGAAGGTGTAGGGCAGGATAAAACCAAAACACCACAAATCTATGCTTCGGCTCTTAGTGGACTCCTAGCCTTGGCTTGGAGTCAGTGTGACCTTGGCAAGTTCCTTATCTCCTCTGTGCCTATTTCTTCCTCCTTGAACTCACCATAATAATTCCTACTTCCTGAGGTTGTTTGGGGGCATTTTCAATGAGTTCTTATATATATTGTCCATTTCACTCCTCTGCCTTAAATATAAACTGTCAGGAAATGGGTTTATTTTGCTTCTTTGTATTTCTTTCTTTCTTTTTTTTTTTTGTTTTGTTTTGTTTTACATAATGATTTTGTTTTGCTTTCATAAAAAGAAAACCCATCCAGTGAATATAATTCTGTAAAAGGCTGACTGAATGAGAATGCCTGAGAAAACCAAGATGCAAGGGGCTTGCATGACCACCTCCAAGAAGTCAGCTGTTAGAGTAGAAGTGAAACTGCAATCAGGCCTCTGCCCCCAGGTGCAGGTGAAAGGGCTGCCTTAGGCTCTACCTCCACTTTGTGTTTTTCTCTTTGCAGTTTTGACCCCTGGGAGCTTAAATTTCCTTTCCATTTCAGGACTACACATTCAGAGTTGATTTTAAAACACACACATATTTTATGTCTCAATGCATACAGAATATGTGTCTATAAATGCATATCGATCTTTCAGGAAATAGATAAACAGACTCCCAACCTAAGCAAAAGTCTGTCTACACCATGAGTCAGCTTTCCACAAAATCTACAAGATGGGAACACATACAATTCGCAACTTCTCTTTTCTAAGAGAAACGGGTTTCCAGAGACCCACTGCCACCTCGGGCAAAGCACACAGCCCCAAGACCATTCTGAAGGCCAATGGTTTCATCCCCTTTATTGTAGGTTTTGCCCATTGCTGAGATCAGAAACGTATGCAAGCACTCTTCGAGGCAAAGACGTGCGACAAGGGAACTTCTTGCTAGTATTCACTACTTCTCCAGTCTTAATATTGCTTTTTCCACTCAGGGTTAATAACAGGGGGTTAAAATCCACGCTCAGGGACCAGCTGAAGTCAGGAGTAGGTGAACCTGCCACCTCCAGAATTATAGGGGATCTGAGTGAAGACAAATCTCACAATGCAAGTAAAAAATAAATCTGATGACCACAGAGAGACATTAAAAATTAAAATGAACAGTGACGAAAGGAGAGGGCGAGAGAGAAGCATAATAGCCATGAAAAACATTTCTTTTTAAAGCAACAAAGGAATATAGATTCTGCAATGAGTACAACACAGACAGCTATTCTGAGTTGGGGGCAAGTTAATTATATTCAAAAAAGACAGGGTCTCCAGGACTTTTTTTTTTTTTTTGAAGTGAAATATTTTAGTTCCTTCATATAGAGACATATTACACAATGTTAACAACCATGAAAAACAATACAAAATGCCCTCAATTTACCAAGTAGAAAAATATAACTAGTATATATGGCAATTGTGAATCTAATACTGTACAGAAGTAATTTATGGATTTTACAAATAAATTATAGCTTAAATGCCCTTTTAAAATTATTTTCTTTTTCTTCCCCCAGATGTACACCAGAACTTACAATAGGAAAGGTTCCGAGCCTAGCTTATTGCAAATCAGTGCCAGTCAAATGTCCTGCCCACAAGCTCGAAGAATTTCTTATTTGGCTCATGAAAATATTCGTGCAGTTTATTGAGGAGTCTGGGGTCGACTTGGGGGTGTGCCCGGCCTTTGGACTCGTGCAAGCAGCGGTCCCGGCCCCCGTCCCGCAGGCAGTAGAAGCCCTTGGTTTTGTTAAAGTAAAAGTTCGAGGCGTTGATCTGCGGCGACAGCTTCAGGAACCGCTCAACCTTCTGGATCTCCGGGAAAGGGTCCCTGATGAGGCGGTCACCATCGACGATGTGAATGCGGCGCAGCGGGAAGAAGCGCAGCCAGTTCTGCAAGTGCACGTGGTAGAGGCTGCGGTTGAGCGCCTTGTAGCCCACGTTGAGCCGGCCGTCACGCACCAGGAACTCCTCGATGGACGGGTAGGGCTTGCGCTTCTGCACGTGGTTGTAGAACACTTGGGTGTAGTCCGACAGCACGCGCTCGGACGGGTCTCGCAGGATAAGCAGCAGCCGGATGCCCGGGTTCATGCTGTGGACGCGCTCAGGCACTTTGGGTGACGTGAAGTACGCGGGGGTCTTCTCCACTGTGAGCTGGTGCGGGGACGAGAAGGGCATCTGGCCCAGGTACCAGCCTAGGCCTTGGCTGTAGTGCTCCTCCCAGTCGAAGAAGTGGACCTCATTCTCGGCAGCTGCCACGTCGGGGTGCAGGCTGAGCATCTCCAACAATGCGCGCGTGCCGCCCTTGCGCACACCGATGATGATGGTCTGAGGCAGCTGCTGGGCCGAGCCGTTGGGGGCCGCACCTTCCTGGCCCTCGCCCTGGAGGGTGGCCCCTCTGCGTGCAAGCTCCAGCTGGCCGGGCTCGGCCCCGGGCATGGCGGGGCGGGAAGGCACTAGCTGGAGCTGGGCCACCAGCAGCACCACGCCCAGGAGCAGTGCAGCCGTGCTGGTCACCATGGTGGCTTCACTGGGCCCAGCGCCGCTGGGTCATGAAGCACTGGCGCGGGGAATGCCTTCTGATCAGTGACACATGGGTGTTGCAGGCTGCCAATTACTAGGAAACAAAGAAAGGGGGAGATATTAACTCCAAATGCATACAGGGCTTACTGGAAGCTTGCAACTCTATTCTTCGGCACCGCAGTCATCTCTCTGGAGCTCTCTCCATTTCTTTATCCTGTGGCACAGGGGGTGGCAAACATTTTCCATACAAGGCCAGATAGGAAAAGTTCTCAGCTTTATGGGACACAGTCCCTATGGCAACTCCCAAGTGTGCTGTTTGCTCAAGTAGCCACAGACAGTACACAGAGGAATGGGTGCAACTGCATTCCAATAAAACTTTACTTACTGGATACTGAAATTTGAATGTCATGAAATTTTCATGCATCATTAAATATGATTTCCTTTTGATTTTTTTCAACAATTTATATGTTCAGCTCTCTATGCACAAAAACAGGGACAGATTTGGCCCTGTGGTCAGTTTGCCAACCTCGGCTGTTAAGGGAAGGGTAGGAAAGGTCTTCTGGACCTCAGCAAACATCACTGAAATATCTACCTGCCAGCCCCAGGCAGAGGGGCTGGGGATATAGAAACAGACTTTGTTCATGTCCCTCATCCCCCACCAGGGGCTCCTGATCTAAAAGGACAGGTGAACCCTTATGAAACACTGAATGCTTAGCCCCCGCTTCTTTACTCCTCCCTGCATCCAATTCTTGCTGTGGCCTCATGGTGGGGTTAGTGTGCTCCCCAGCGATTTTATTCGGGTTTGGCCAATGGCTGCAAAATGGCAGTCCCTAGCCTCGGCCTTGAGCCTTGTGTGTTTGCACTTGCCCTCTTGTGCTTCTGCAATGACCGTGAGCAGAATGGGCCCTGCCCAGCCCTGGGCTCCAGAGGAAGGTGAGAGACATGTACAGCAGAGCACCATGCAAGTCCACTGTGTCCATCACAGCCATACTGGCTCGTTAGTGAGAATGCACCATTGTGGCTTTGAATTTTGGGATAGTTGGTATTGTAGAATAAATGTGGCCAAGGTTAATTGATATAACCTGACTGCAGTCATCAGCGCTATATACGTTCTGATTATAGTTTAGGCAGGGTAATATGAGGACACACGTTCACTCATTTCACCTGGAACAAATTTGGATGGTAGAGAAAGTGTCTGAAGTCAGCCTAGAGGGACAAACAGGGGAGGTGGCTAAAACGAGCAAAACTCCTTCCCGTGTGCAAAGCCATACTGCTCATGAAGTGGTTTCGTAGTCTGCTCAGGCCATTGGCACCGTGACCAAATAGAGCAAGGTAGCAAGCGGGACAGGAGTCTTGCCCAAGGACAGGAGAATTTAATCCACTTCAAAATTCAGAGCCCAAATTCAGAACTCTGGATGCAGGGCTCTTTCCACAAACTGCCTCCTTTATACCTTTTCCTCTTTATAAAGTTCAGCTCTATGTCTGAACTTCATAACACTTAGGCATTGGAATCCCACAAGGACACAGCCACTGCTGGGCCAGATGGCAGTGGGGTTCCAAGGACAGAGGAGCCACATCCATGTTTCAGGGAACTGATAAACTACCATCATCAGGACATGTTTGACTATCTCCCAGGAAGAGAGCATTGAAAGTTCTTGTAAGTTGTCTCTGTCCAAACACAGGAAAGGGTGAGTGACAGGCCTGCCTTGGGGACCATGGGCTTTAGAGAGCCAGTAAAAATGTTCTCCATCAAGAGAACCCATCGTCTTCTATATGCCAGGTTTAAAATTCACTTTGTTAGTTTAAAAGTTGTCTAGAATGTATAAATGAGGAATTTTTATGGTCTTCCATTTTTTATAATCAAACCAATTGCACTGCCTACCTCAGATAGCGACTATATTAGCAGCTTTGAAAAATGCACATTAAAATGTCTTAACTGAGAAAAGCAATTAAAAACTGGACATTTTTAGAGAATCACAGAACTGGAGAAGGGATCTGCAAGATCAGGGGACATAACTATTTAGGGAAAAAAAAAGAAAAAGAAAAAAACATTTAAGGAGGTATGACTGATCAAGATGTGGTCCCAAGTTTTCTACTGATTGAATGAGCTCAATTTAATGGAACTTTTCCTTACTCAATTGAATGCTTTGACGTGTTTCAATCAAATTTCATTTCCTTCTCAGTGAGGGTCTGCCCCGTAAGTACTGACAAAATGGATCCACTGTGCTTACCTTTTACATGTTTGGGGTATGCATGCATGTGCTTATGCATGCCTGTGTATGTCTGCGCCTGTGTGTATGCTCTTGTATGCGTGTGCACATCGTGGGGGTGAGCCGCATGACGTGCAGGACAGAGTAACCACTCCACACTAGACTGCTCTATTCTTTTTTTCTTTTTCTTTTTCTTTTTTTTTTTTTTTAACGTAGGGAGAAAGAGACTGAGGTGAGGGGGGCAGAGGGAGAGGGAGAGAGAATACTAAGCAGGCTCCACACTAGATGTGGGGCTTGATCTCATGACCCTGAGATCATGACTTGAGCTGAATTAAGAGTCAGGTGCTTAACTGACTGAGTCCCCCATGCATCCCTAGATTACTCTACTCTCAGTGATGAGTGTTGCTGACCCCATCTCTCAGCTCCATATTCAGACTCAGAAAGCAGCCACAGATCCCAATCCTTCAACACCTTAGGGACAGAACCGGAGGCCAGATATGAGACATCCTGAATAGTATAGTGCACATCCGAGTTTCTTTCTTTCTTTTTTTTTATAAAGGGGAATTACCAACAGGGAGCAGAGAAGAAACTATATATATATATATACACATATATATATATATATATATATACACATATATATATATATACACACACACACACACACACACACACACAAACACACACACACACATACTTTTTACTGAAACAAACAAAAAGGGGGCCATTAGTAATTTAAAGTATCCTCATTTCTACTTTAATACTTCCTAAAAATGTATTAAATGTCTAAAGCCTTCTACATTTCAAAAATACTTGAAGTATATAGGAAAATAAAAAACTAAGCTAAAGTCTCATACACACATACTACACATATAGAGAGAAGTAGGGATATGTATGAGATATATATATATATATATATATATATATATAGCATACATATATATATGCTATATATATATAAAATACATATCACACACACAGAGTGGCCACTGTGGCCAACTTCCTCCTGTGGTAGCTGGCTAATTTGATCTCAGTGGCACAGCCAGAATTTCTGGACCTTTTGGTAAGACTCTCAGAAAAGAGATGACCCTCAAGCTCAGGTGAACCTGTGAGCCAGGACCCCAACTGGAACGTTCTGGAAGCTTGGAGCCCCAAGCTGGCATTGGTTGGGCGAGAAGGATCAACAGCACCTGGAACCCTGGCCACCTGCCCACCAGAAGCAGTGGTGGCAGCTCCCATCCGCACCACGTGTAACTGAGCAGGCACCAGGCTGGCAACTTTGCATAGGGGGCCCCTGGGATGCTCACTGCAAGCCCTCAAGAGAACTGATCTCACTATAGGAAAGTGAGGCTCCGGGAAATTCAGCAGTTTGTCCAGAAAGGTAGAAGCTGAACTAGTATCCAAACTCAGTCTGAGCAGGCAAAGCCAGGGATGTCACTGCCACTTCGCCCCTTGACAATGCCTGGACTTAGGGTACAAGTAGTTCCTGGGACTGACGGGAGCTTCTCTGGTCCTGTTGGACATTCATACCTGGTAACCGTCCTTCAAGGAGGGACAGGATTTCTTGGAAGGATAAGCAAAACAAACCCTCCCCTTTCCTTTGTAGATGGGTTAAGAGTTCCCAAAGAGAGATCTAGCTCCCTCTCAGTTCACTTCCCTTTATCAGAGATGCTGTTTTCTTGATCCTGCAGTGCTAAACCAAGCCCTGAGTTGCAAAAACTCAAAAGGCAAGAGACTTCCCCATCAGCAACACCAGGTTTCCTCGGGCCCCACTGAAGGTGCTGACTGCATGCCAGGCCTGGGTGACCCAGAGACACACACAGCATTTTTTAGATGGAGGTTCCCTTGCACCCGAAATTAAATCCAAATTCCTTTCCAGACCCAGGGATCCCCCAGGATGAGAACTGCCTGTCCCTCTGGCCTCAATCTGCTCTTACAAGCCAAGCTCCCACCTCGCTGACCTTTCTGTTTCTTTGAACACCCTGAGCTCATGCCAGCTCTGGGCCCTGGCCTTTCCTGCTCCCTCTTTCCAGGATGCTGGATCTGAGGCTTTTTGGGGCTGGCTCTTCCCTGTCATTCAGATTTTACTTCAAATACTGGCTTTCCCTACAACATGGACTGATGCACTCTCTTTTAACCACATGCTTTCCCATCATCCCATTATATATTTCTCATGTACTATCCAAAACTATATACGCTTGTTTGTGGTCTGCCCCTCCGCCCGACAAAGCCAATTTCAGAGCCTCCCGACAGTGTCCTGACTCTCTCTCTGCTGCATCCCCCAGGGTCTGGCATGATTTCTGTGCATAGTAGGGGCTAGAGATCCTACTTGCTGAATGAACGTGTCGAATGTAGCGGAAGGTTAAGCAAATGGCCCAAGGTACCAAGGAAGGCTTTTAATTCAATAGAAAGACATCCTCAACAGCTTGTCTATGAAAAAGACTGTATCAAACGGTAGTGAGTTCTTCATCCCGAGAGAATCCGGCAGAAACCAGATGTCAAGATTTCTAGTGGTGACTGGACAAGATCACCTGAGAGTCTAGAAAATATTTTAATTTAAAAAGGAGGGGAAACCATGAAATAAGCCCTCAAAATATTTTAATTTTCTCCTTAAATCTTCTTATTACGTAATTCACATCATGACCTAGATTTCAAATGTAATTAACTACAATATATTCCCTCAGTCCCACCACTGCAATGTATTCATGCATAAAGTGAAATAACTAGAATATTCCATGAGCAGTAAATTTAATGCATCAGAAATAGCACTGCTTATAATCCCTCTGTCTGCAGGACACCCTTCCAGCCCCTCAACAAAAATTAGTGGCACAGCTGGCACAGACTGGAAGATCCTCTAGGATAACAGGGATGCTCAAAACACTCA